TGTGTGTGTGCGCGCATGTCCATCCAGGGGTACACCTGCGGAAGCAGCACTCGTACATCGAGCAGGGCCGGAAGTGCCGCTACTGCGACGCCGTGTTCCATGAGCGCTACGCCCTCATCCAGCACCAGAAGTCCCACAAGAACGAGAAGCGCTTCAAGTGCGACCAGTGCGATTACGCCTGCCGACAGGTGCGGCCACTCTGCCAGTGTTGCTGGGAATTAACACCCCGGAAGTGTGACTTATGTCCTGACGCTCGGCTCCTCAGAGGAGATCAAAGGCACACGTCACGCGTGAAACTGCCCCTCGCTTCCTCACACGTGAAACTGCCCCTCGCTTCCTCACACGTGAAACTGCCCCTCGCTTCCTCACACGTGAAACTGCCCCTCGCTTCCTCACACGTTCCATCCAGCTGCTCCTTTTTTCTACATGCCCAAACTAAACTTAGACCATGACAAATGGTCATGGTTTAATAATTGTACTTACGGACCTCCTCCTCCTTGCCCCCCCGCCCCACTCCCCGGGCGACAGGAGCGTCACATGGTGATGCACAGACGTACCCACACTGGGGAGAAGCCGTTCGCCTGCAGCCACTGTGAGAAAACCTTCCGGCAGAAGCAGCTCCTGGACATGCACTTCCGCCGCTACCACGACCCCAACTTCGTCCCCACTTCTTTTGTGTGCACTAAGTGTGGCAAGACGTTCACGCGACGGGTACGAGGGTCGGTGGGCGGGGCCACACTGCGGGACTCCCTGACTGACAAGTTGATTTCCGGGTGGGCTGGCCATTTGGCAGCCATTAACTTTCGTGACACCCCTTCTACAGAACACCATGGCCAGACACGCAGAGAACTGTATGGGTCCGGAAGGGACTGACGGCGAGAACGGCGCCCCTCCGAAGAAGAGGGTGGGCAGGAAGAGGAAGATGCGCTCTAGGAAGGATGACGACGATGACAGTGGTGAGGCTCCTGTCCCAAGTCCACGGTGTGGAGGCCTCACAGCCAAGCCAGCTTCCTGTTTTGACTTCCCTTCTCTTGTAGATGCTCATGGAGAACCTGAGATGGATGATGCTGAAGAGGAGGATGAGGAAGACCTGCTCGCTGCTGCTGAGATGGAGGTGGAACAGGCGCCGCCCATTATTCCAATCCCGGCCCCCATGCCCCCGGTCGTGAAGAGGAAGCGAGGCAGGCCCCCCAAGCCCAAGCCAGCCCCACGTGAGTGCTCCTCATGGGACTGGGGGTGGATGCATGTGGTGTGTGATGTCATGTCTGGGGGGGCCACGGTAACTCAGCTACTGGGAACTGGAAACCTCAGAGACTCGTTTCCTTTCTCTGGTCAGGTGTTTTATTCCCGGTTGATGACCTGGTTTGCGTCTCTCTGCCTCTTAGCCGCTGCCATCATCCAGGTGGAGGACGAGAGCACAGGCGCCATCGAGAACATCATCGTGAAGAAGGAATCGGAGCCCGAGCAGGCTGCCCACAAGGCAGGCACCGAGGCAGAGGAGGCTGAGGCTGGGGGGGAGGTCATGCAGATGCCCGTGGTCGACACTGCCCCCAATGGTGACCTCACGCCCGAGATGATCTTGAGCATGATGGACCGGTGATGTGTGTGTCACTGCTCCCGTCTGTCTGACTACAGACCCTCCCAAAACCTCCCTGTTTTGTACGTAGTTTTGTCTCTGGGTCTCAGTTTCTGCCCAGAGTACATTGAGAGATTGGTTCTGCCTGTTTTTCCGAACCTTATTGCTTTCACTCTTCCCTCCCCTTTCATTTTACTCTCGAGGTTCCACTCTGACCCTGTAGGAAGCCCTTTATACAGAGTCTCAGCTGCAATTTCCCCCCCCCCCTCTTGCTCTAACAAGATGAGTTTGAGCATTTTTGAGTTTGGTGTAAGATGATGGATCGGTCTCCTGCTTTGTCCCAAAGGTGATAGGGTGACTCATAGGTGAATGAATGGTTTGTCTTAGGAGGACAGGACGGTGACGACTTCATGGTGACCTCCATTATAAATTTACCAGCAAAACACAATGCCCTTAATGTTTGTCATGGCCTTGCATTCACTCTTCTTTGAAACTAGCAAGAAACACAGGAAGCCCACCGCCCATTGTCACCTGGGACAGGGATTCCTGCTTAGGATGCCTTTGTGTGCGATTTGATGCTTGCTTGTCCAGGGTTAGGCCTCTTCCTAAATACAGATTCATTATAGAATGAGGACAAAGGCAGCCACTGGTACTTTATAAGGCTATGACCATTGTACAAATAGAAATATTGGCTAATCCTGCTTGTAAATATATTTTTTATTTTCGATTTGTTTTGTTATACCATACATTTTAATCATTTTTCTAGTGATGGAAGACCTTGTACATTATGGAAGAATAAGGTTTTAACAGGAGCTCTGGGACTTCTGTGTGTAAAGCGGTCAGTCACTCGTGTGAGTGCGTGTAAATGTTGGGGGGGGGGGGGGGGAGTGCTTTTTCCGAACGTCCTGCAGGGGGTGCAGTCCTCCTGTCTGACCTGTCGGAGCTCTGGAGTCCACTGACCACAAGCTGTTAAGGTGTGAAGGCTGGGTGAATGTCACACAGTGTAACCCAGGAAGGGCCTTCACATGAATTTGGGGGTGATTGTGAAAATAATGGTTTCTGTTTAATTCCAAACTACTGTGTTGACAGAGGTATTTTATTTAACCAGCTACAAATCTTTTAACTGAAAATTATAGTAAAGATGAAGCAGTTTATTAAGGTGATGTTTTTTTTTTTTGTTTTTTTTTTTTTTTTGAAGTACGATCGTATCCTTGGCACATTCGGTATCACGTCAGCTGGTGTGGCCATGGGGTGTCTCAACAAATTTAAAGAATAATCAAGTCCAATGAGGAAGCTGGAAGGATACCTGTACAAATTAGCGTTCGCTAAACAAAACCTGCTTTTACAGAACATTTTCTGCTCTTTCAGAATGAAGTTTCCTCTGATACGTAATTGCATTTAAAATTGCTTTTGTTAAGCTCTTAAATATAGGTTGATGCATTTTTGTACCTAGCTGTACTATGTGAGTTTTTTCAGTAGTTGAAAGCAGACATTATAAAGACCTTTATTAGGGCTGGGGGGGGCAGGGTGACATGAGAGGCTCGGTGGAGAATGTATTGCTGTACAGCTAATAAAAAGAAATTGACCTTAACACATGTTGCTTGGTGATCCTGTGATTGTTCTTCGCTGGACGTGCGACGTGCATCTAAAGCTGGGCTTCGATTTCCAGGAGATACGAGGAAGCTGGTTTTTACTGTAGATGTCAAACGTCTTCCTCAGTACCACACTGTGTTTGTCTCACACCCCCAACTCCTTGATGAACAATCCCATTCACATTCCTTGGCTGTCAGCCATGGATACGGCTGCCATCTCGGAGTCATTAGCTCTCCAGGTGAGGATCGAGGAGCTCCCTGTTATGGCTGTGCAGTGAGAATATGAATTTCTCCCATGCTTCTTCTACAGGACATCCTGCCTTATTTATCAAGTAGATGATGTAATCCTTAGTGACGATGTCCCTGATGCCAGTCAGTTCCCAGCAGCATCCCCGAGGTGCTCGTCGGTGGGTGGGTGGCATCCTTCACGTCACCGTGAGCTCTGCCGCGGGAGTTCGTGGTGTTTGGGGCGGCCAAGCTGCTGTGCGCTCGGTCTGCTTCCCTGAGTCTTGAAATGTCATATAGTTGCATGTTCATTTTTGTTTAATGTGCCCTACAAGAGAGCGATGGCGTATGACTGAACACCGCTTGAGGGAACTGACAGTGTCTTACACAGCTTTTAGAAAACATCCTGGTTCGGAGTACGCCTAAAAACACTTCAGTAGAAAGGAAACGATCGTATGAGAGACAGTGACCCCTACAGGCTGTGGTTTCAACTACAGGAGAGCCGCTGCCTCCCAAGCTAACCTGTACATTGCAGAGTGGCCACTTTTCCATTTCTCTTCTCTGCCAAATGGTACAGCAATAAAACCTCAACCCTCTGCTGTACGTATTGACGGCCAGCAGGTGGCGCATGGTAGCAACAGAAGGGTGAGATTTTGGTTTTTGCTTTCACCTACAGGAACACGGACACAAGATTCAATTCGAATATCAGTAATTTGATTTGGGCATGTTAAGATTCCTGGGCAAAATCAAGTAGAGCAATACTTTCCATTTAATCTGCTTTCTCAGACAGTATTATTTTGGCATGTTTTAAACCCCATTTATGTTGATCTATGTGCACAAATATGTTTGACGGGTTGACAAAAGCTTCCTGGATGCGGGTTCTAGGGCACACTCAGTGCAGGCCAGTGTCCCGCCTTACTTACACGGTGCTCATTTGCTAATATTCATTCACGAGTCACGCACCTAAGGAGGCCTGACATCTGCGTGACCACAGCGTCCTTCGCTGATACTGAATGATCGCATGACTCACATTTTTTTCGCTATCAGAAGTGCATTGTCGTTCAGGCTTAAAACTACTTAAGAGCAATGCTTTTAAAACATTGAATTAATGAATGCCTATGTTTAGCTCACTTAAATCCTTCCCTATAATTTCTTGCTGAGGCTGGTCAGAATGGTTTCTTTTGCCTTGTTTAGTTTAGCCTAATAACTTAGTGAAGGGAATCACATTGCCATGGCAACGGATTTTATGTTAGTACCACAAATTTGATTTCTGCTGTCTGAAATGCTACGTTAATACTGCTGGCTTCATCCCATTTGTCCCACCAAGTAAACAGTTACACACGTTCACGCACTAAGCGCAAATATCCCAGGTTGTCCCGTCCCTCAAATAATGAATGTTTACAGTAACATAGCATAGAGCAGTGATTCTCAAGCGTTTTGCATCGCGACCCAGTTTTTACCACGTCAGCTCAGTCGCGACCTTATATCAAGTGTAGGTTTAAATTACCGCTATGATCAAGCACGCAGCGCGCTCTGCAACTATGCCAATCAATACCAATCGCACAAATCTGATTGGACGTGCCAGTGAAATTTAAATGAAGCATCTGTGGTTTGGCTTCTTGGATTGGTTGACTGTTCACTAGTTATTTGCTAAGCAGTTGCGGATCCAAGACCCGTAAATATAGATTAATTCTAGGATTGGGGCTGGGAAATCTGATCGTGGATCAGCATAGGAGCTTGCTCGTTGTAAAATACTTTCATTTTCAACTCTGCCTGGGGACTTTTTCAGAACTTGCCGCTGGTTGAGGATTGCTGGCCTTGGGTAAGGTGAAGGACAACCCCGAACACAACTAACAGAAATGATAACATAGTTGTAGCATGTTTCTTGTTCACCTCTTCAGATATCAATTGTGTCCCATTGGTTTTAAGAGATGCCCGGGCACTGGAGCTCTTCACGTACAGTTGCGCACTTTGCATCTTACGTCATCAAACGTCACCAAAGTGTGAAGGACCTCAGTGCGCTTGCACATAAGTGGGGTAAATGGAAGGAAGCTGCTCTGTTGTTGGGAGACTTCTGGTAAAAACCACCACTGCAGTGAAGTTGTGGTGTGTCAACTACGACAATTAATCACAAAAAAAAAGAAAAAATTCTCGCAGAGAATTTTACACATGAGTCCGTCTGACCATACTATCTCCAGCATGGGCGGGGGGATCGTTAACTCGGAACAGACCATAAGCGTGCACCTAAGCATTTCTGTACACTTCCTTATAAATCATTCATACATATGGATATAAATATCTGTATCCCTTACAGAGCGTTCATAAATATTGGCCTTTTTGAACTGTATTTTACCTTACAGATGTCTGCTGGCGTGATCATTAGCGTTCCCTGATGCAGGGATTCCCAAAGTGGGGGGTGGAAGGTGATTTCCAGAGTGTTTCTTAAAACCTAAAAACGTGAAAAAATTCCACTGCAACCGTAACTCTGCAATTGTGATAAATCCACTGTACTGAGGGGGACCCAACCACCCCCATTGCCGCAATCTACTACAGGGGACGACACCCCCCCCGGTCAGCACAAAGGGGGTCCCTAGTCCCCGGTACTTTTATTTTGGGAGTTATGGGATCACATGGTTGGGAATCCATGCCCCGATATCAGGTTCTTCCCCATTTCTTTATTTACCATTTACATTGTCGAGGGGTTAATTAGGTGATGATTGGGCTTCTAGGTTGATTACGTCATGGTCACTGCCCACCCTAATGTCTAGTCCTTCATATCTACATATATGTCCCACAGCAGCAAAAGCTGCCTCTTCCTTATAAGGGATTTCCAGTGATCCATCACTTGGCAGGTGACCTGCTTAGTCTTCCTGCAGTAGTGTTTTTTTCCATTTTAATCTTGTTTTGTGTTAAAATGTGGATGGTATTTACAATGCCCTGGGCGCAGGGATAAACTAAGTCAGGGATAAACTAAGCCAGGGATAAACTAAGTCAGGGATAAACTAAGCCAGGTCCCACATGCAGAATGCAAAATTCTGCGTCGCTCCGAACCATGAATATATGTTTTACTTCAGTGCTCCGGCTCTACGGCCTTGGGTCTGTTCGTGAGCCCTGCTTCTGCATTTCATTAGAGTGCTAAAGGTCACAGGAGGCCACTCGCCTCTTCTAGCTTCTGAAGGATGTAAAGTACAATGACAGGCAATGTGAACAGCCTCAGACAATTATCTGCTGCATATTGTGAATGTATGTGTCTGTCAGAGAGCTCTCCCAGTGCAGCTTTCTCCAAACCTTCTCTCAGGGAACACAGCCAGACATAAACCAAGTGTTTGGACACCAAAACCTGCCCCATTCTTTCATTTCTCAGCTACATTTCTCAACTATCGGGATCACCAGCATTTAACGATATTCAGTAAAAGGTGTGTGTCCCTTAATGAAGGATACCGTCTGAATAAAATTAATGACCCTTCATACAGGGGACAGTCTACCTTTCTCTGGTCAGACAATAAAAAATGTAAGGTAAGTGTTTGCCTCTCCTTGAGCTCTGAGCCAACTGCTCTCCATGGACACAGGCTGGAGACTCAGCATTTAATTATCATTCATGTCGGTCTTCCTCTTTTACCTCAAGCCTAAAGACTCACCAATTGCTTGTCCCGTTATCAAGCACTCTTCAGTAAAAGAAATTATTTCTTAAGATATGTTGGATTTGTTGCCTCTCTTTTTGTTTTTTTAAAAAAGCCTTGATTATCACACATCCCACCTTAGGCATATTGATTTCAGGCAGGGGGAGGGAGCGTGGAGGCCTGGCTGGTATTATTGTAATACAGCACACTAGTGTATTTCTGGTATTTTGGGTATACCACACCCCCCCGCCACATTTTACCGGGAAATACCAGAATATTGTTGCTTTTTAAAATGTCTGGATGATATGATGGTGTTAAATATTAGATACCGGCCAAGCTCAGTGCTGGCTGGGGGGGGGTTGTGATGAAGTGTGCTGGCTAACTTTACCAACGTAGAATAGCAGAATGACAGATTTGCAGGGCATTGCGCATCATTCAGGAGATTCCCGGAACTTCTGGGAGAGGTTGGATGGATTATTGTTCTTAAAAAAGTATCGGTGAATCTCTATATGCCTACTTGACCGTGCTTGTGTTCTTGTGTACTCATCTTACATCATCTTACATTGCTGAAATCATTCCAATATTCAAAAACGCATGTACAGAGGACGGTAAAAATCTCTGAATTTTGTTCTTGCCCCTCCCAAATATCAAGGATGCATTTGTTGCATCCTCGTCAAACAAGACCAATCCCATAATTCTTTGCACCACAAATTCGCTCTTGCCGAATGCACAAATTGACCAGTCTTGCCGAGACCACGAGTATGATCTTTGTGCCCTTGGTATTGAGAAACTGCCTATAAGTCAATCCTTCTGCTTAAAAGAAAACAGGCCTAATTGGGGAAAAAAAGCCTCATTCTCAAGTCATGTGATGTGCCCTATCTCTGCAGTCCTCGGAGTACAGTACCATTGGGGAAGCAGTGTAAGGCAGCAGCCCCCCAAGCAGTGCAAGGCAGGGAGGGGCTCTTAATTACTCAAAGGCTCCTCTGTAA